AAATGAGCGAAAGGGATATAGCCTATGATGATTTGTTGAAGGTAAAAAAGGTTAAATTAATTTTTTTTTTAATTCGAGCTTAAGGTATTTATGATTATAATAATATACCATTATATCTATGAATTTTAAGGTATATGCAAAATTTCACAAGGTTCAAATCTCTCTAACCCAATTTATTTTATTTCATCAAGTACTATAAATGCACATTATCACTTACACTGATATGAACAGTCTCAAATCTTTTAACTTAATACATAAGCATGATTTGACAAAATCTTGTGGTTAGTTATGCTCAACAAGCTCATGACCAAGGATAAAGTTAAAGCTTGGGGGAGAACAGATGATGCACAAGGTAACCTTTGTGGGCTCATAATAAAACTGTTGAGCATTTGTTCTTTAAATGCTTATTTTCAGCCCAAATATGTGATCATATACTATCCTATATGAGGCTACAAGGAAGACATAAGTCTTGGATTAGATTCCGACCTTGGTATAAGACTCTAGAGGGAAGAAAAGGTTCAGGTTCAAGGCATAGAAGAGCTCTCATTGTAGCAACTATATACTATATTTAGCAGGAACGAAACTGCAGAAAATTTAGACGCATTAGCAATTCCCTTGCAGGATTACTCAATAAAATTCACAGCTTGATGGCCTGCAAACTTGGTGATTTTAAATGACACTAACTTATATTTGTATATTGTTCTCTCATGCAGCATTGTGATGTTTTTTCTTGCTGTTGGAAGCCTACTTTTATTATACTTTGGAATGCCTAAGTACCCTTGTACACCTGATAATCAGTGAAATATTCTTTACCTATGAAAAAAAATTCATCACTCAATTTGGTACTCAATCGCATGTCGCATTCCTATCTCACACAACTTGGATGAATTATTGCCTTCTTAGTGATAATGCTTCAGAGTATTATGGATTAGCAAGATGTATTGCAAGCTTGCAACTTTGCAAGAAGCCTTAGAGCTTGAGTAAAATAAAGAATTTTCACTTTCAAATGGCCATGAAAGATTAACATAGAACCACATTGCCATACTAAGCTAAAGCTAATGAGTCTTACATTTAAGCAAAATAAAATTTAGTGGGATAGCAATGCATCTAATCTATGAAGTGTAATTATAAGCAAAAGTAAGAGATATTCTCCTTAATTTTTAAATAGGAGTAAAAATTATGAACGATCATTCTGATATCAAATAGTTACTCAAAGCTAATCATAACACAATATCATACAATTTAAAAAACAAACATTGGTAATGTAAGTCTTACCCTTGATTGATCCACCTCTGGATCTACCAGGGAAACCACTCCTGCAAGTGTTTCAAGTGTTGTCCCTGCAACCGTACAAACATGAAAAGTGATCAGTTTGATCAGGCACAACAATAGTTGTACTTAGCAGTTACAACATTAACATGGGATGATTTCCAGCCAATTAAAGTGAAGCAATAATTACAAAAGACATAAACTGGTAAATGTAGCATCTAGTGTTAAGTTATTTTCAACATAGATACCAAGAAAGGTAAAAGATTTCAGTACCAGCAACATAAGTGCTGGATTCAGCACTGCTAGAATCATATCGCCATCTTCCATCACTTTGACTAAGCGACTGATGAAATAATGGTTTAAGTTATACCTCTTCACTAAATGGAAAAGTAGCAAAAAAAGAAAAAGAATACATAGGACTTGAAAGCTTATCACCTTTATGGAATCAAAAACACTACTGTCATCTGACAGTGACACATCCAAACCTTGATTCTACATCAGAAAAATGAAAATATGTTTTTTATGTTTATAAAGTTTTAAATAATAACAGAACACATTAAAGATCAAAGAGAAGGCAATTAAGGATGTAACTATATCAATAGAAATAGAACTCGAGCATAATAAACTTGTGTATCAGCTGAAATAATAACAAACAATTTAGTACAAAACAAACAATGCAATGTCTAATTTGATCTCACAGGATATTTTTGGTAAATAGTCATATACAACACATTATACAAAAGAATATATCGAGATCATAAGTAATCACGAGTTCTTCATCAATCTCAGGGCTCCACTCCTCAACATGCAATCTCTCTGTCAAATTCCCCCACTCATAAAACTCAAAGAAAAACAAATAATTTGGAGGCCTCGCATGAGCAATAACTAACTTAGCCAATCAAGGATGATCCACTTCACTTCACGCTAAAAAAAACCAACATCAAAATTATCCATATTGGTCAACATGGGCACTCCCAAAATCTCAACTTTAAGCGAAAACCACCTAAAGGAGTGTAAACTTTCTTACCACCACAGTTGAAGTTCTCTATGGAACTTGTCAAGGTCGTCTGAAGAGGAAAAGACAGGTTTTTTAATGGTGATTCTCCGGCCATCGAGCCTCACGTCGTAGACGGTGCTTTCAGAACCTTTTGTTTGGTGAAATCAAAGGAGAGTCTCAGAATGGACAAACAGAAAATTAGAGAAAAGACATAAGGGGTTTGGTGAAATTTTACCTTAAGCGATAGGGGAGAGGAGAGAGAAGGAAGAGGGAGGCAGATGGAGGGGGATTGACTTGCTCGAGCAGCTCTCTTTAAACAAAACGGGAGGCACAATTAGTTGAATCTAGCATTCCTATGCAATTTCCCCACAATTCTCTTCAACAAAAAGAAGATATATGGGTAATTCAATATTAGCAAAAAAATTTTGGGGGAAGAACAATTTTTTTTCTTAGCTAATAAAGATACCTTACTGGTTTTGACATCAATCTAACATTTAAGAATGTTGTTCAATCTCAATGCATGAAACATATCATTCGTTGTAGAAGAAGACGAACCGAGTTTTTCCACAACAAGCGGGCATGTTGCCAGGCTACTTTCGGAAACCTTTTCAGAGTCCTAGAATCTGAAATGTTCTCACTGTTCCATGCTATATTTAGCCTCTTCATTTCGTAACAAAATTTCCATTAATTCTTAATTAAAAAAACTCATAACTTGTGACAATTAGTTGGAATTTATTGGGTGTGAAAGCTTTTGATTTTATAACTCATTTTATAAATTCTTAATAATAATGGAAAACACCTCATAAATTTGCCCATTAATTAGATCCAAATTAATTTTGTTATATTTACAAAAGTTGAAGGGCAATTTGGGGTAGTGAAAGTTTTTCTAGTACTCCCTCTTTTAAAGGGTAGATGATATATATAAAAAAAAAAAGAGCGG